TTTCTATTTTTAATAACCTTAGCATAGTCTTTTGGCCGATCATTTATTTTCATAGATATTTTGGCGACTTTACAGCTAAAGCTCAGCTTGCGTTTTGCAGGAGATTTATTTGAGCTGTTCTGGAACTCTTTATTCTACGATGACTCTGTATAAATTTGGCTTTAAAGGATCTTCTCGGCTAACTCTTAACGTATGGAATATTTTTTTCAGTAATTATCCTTTGGCTTCTTATCTTCCTTTCTAGGTTATAATGATTTTAGCCACGTTTAGCTACTTTTTAGATACTGGTGACATTAGCTGTAGGAGTCTTTAGGCGTTTAGGAGTAAAGGTTTAAGACACAATTTCAAGTTTGTTCTTTTTTTGTTTGGACTGCATTTGTGGATTGCAAATTTTAGCAGTTTTTGGGGCCTTTTAATGACATTTCATTTTTAACCAGATTTTTTAAACATTTTTGTCTGTTGTTTAAACCAAACTTCTAGGCCTAACTTGTGTGTACAGAAGCCCAGCTGGACAGTTTCCATAAACACTTTTGTCTGTTTTTTAAACCATACCTCTAGGCCTAACTTTGGCTCCTTTTAAGCTAAGACTCATCTGTGAACGACATTCACGTCGGTGACGTGTGTGGTACAGAAGCCCAGCTGGACAGTTTCCACTCTGACTTTGCAGAAGTACCGATTTTTTTTTTTTTTTTTTTTTCAATCCTCTGCCCCGAGCTCTCGCTAAAAATCTGGTGAAGTTGTGACACGGTCCTCTGTCTGTCAAAGCTGGAATGAACACCTGACTACAGTCGGCCTGAAGGATCACTCGTCCTCACACACACACACACACACATCCTGAACATGTTTGACATGAAGGGACGTTCAATGTAATTACACAACACCTCAAAGGTAACGTCACCTCCATGAGACGGCGCTCCCCTGTGGACGTGTGAGGAACTCATTGACGTCGATTCATAGATACAGCACATACATCAGGCCTCGATTGGCTGGAACGTGCGGTGGGACAAGCGTCCCCTGACTGGTGGTGGTTAGAGCTCAGGGAACCAGCATTGATCCGTCGTCTCAGAGGAGCTCTCTGTGCAACAGTCCCACCACCGTGGCTACGTCTGGTTGGTTAATTGAAAAAAGAAATGAGCGGGAGGAGGCTTTATGATGTGTGTGAGCGTACGCCTCTGACGGTGTTTTTTTGAGTCTCTCCGTTACTAAAGGCGAAGACACGGCATGATTTTGTCGGAAGTGTGGGATCGGAATTCAATCCTCGAGCACCGACCAACAGTTGTAGAGCGGTGAGTCAGTGGGAGTCTGATCAATGAGAGGCTCCAACATCTCCAGCTCAGAGACTTCCTCACTCTGTCTCAACTTTGTCTCTGCATCTCCTCCAAACCGTCCGCCGGTCAATCCGACCTTGACATGACATCCGTCTTACCCGTCCGACCGTTCTGCTGACGTCCAAACCTTCAGGAGCTCCTACAGACGCAGCGCTGCTGGGCTGAATGAACGCGTGGAAAATGAGCTCAGTGACCTACAGCAAAGGTCAGACTCCAGTGAGCATGAACAGTCAGATGATGGCTGCTGCTGCTGCAGAGGTTCAGAGTTTAATAAACTGCTGCTGGACTGTGAGCCTGTTGGTTTGACTCTGCTGCAACCTGCTGTGAATACTATGGCTGTGTGTGTGTGTGTGTGTGTGTGTGTGTTATGTCTAAAGATGCAGCTCCTGCTCTGGGCAGCTGTGCTGTGCTACAGTGCTTATTGATTTCACACACAAGGTAAGTGTGTTGGTGTGTTAACACACATCTCGGAGGTGGCTCGTCGGCTCTGCACTTCCTCAGACCTGGAGCAAAGACGGATTCATATTCCTGCACCGTGTTTGTGTTTGTGTTTGTGTTTGTGTTTGTGTTTGTGTTTGTGTTTGTGCCACGAGCTCCGTTGATCATCAAGTCACAGCTTCAACTGAACCTGGTGGTGAAAGTAGTCAAAGGTCCAACCAATCATTTTCAATCTGTTCAATCACAGTTAATCGTTATGAATCAAGATAAATCCACATTCCGAAATATGAACCAAATGTAATTTGTGATCAGAAATCATCTTCATCAAAAATGTTAATAAAAATGAGTGAAAACGTAGCTAAAAATGTAACTTCCTAGCGTCGTTGGATTTTACACGTTCCTGTGCTTTTTGACCCCGACTTGTTGAAAGCAGCAAGTTTTGCGTTCAGGATTTCACCGAAGTCGTTGTTCTTAACAATATTAATCAGTGTCAGCCTGAACATCCGACAGTCACGCTTAACGCCCAGTGTCCGACCTGAAGTTGGAGGCTTCACAAACACAGTCGTTTCTCCAACATAAGTGATAATCCAATCATATGACGTACGGTGGTCTCTGCTGGGCCGCTGTCGGCCGTTACTGCCGTTACTGCGTTAATATTGTGCCATTGTTGAAGGATTGTTACATTTTCACTAAATATTCTGCCACTGAAAAAGAGATTTTTATCATCGATACAACAGGAAGTCGTGATGATGCGAGCAGAAACCGCCGGCTTGTCTGAAAGTGTCTGTCGTGTGTCTGTTATCAAGAAGCTACGTTTTAATGTGGTTTGAAGGAAACTTTGGTTCATTTGGTTACTCTGTGATACCTACAGTACTCCAACATACTCCAACATACTCCAACATACTCCAACATACTCCAACATACTCGGACTCTCTGTTAGCTCTGTTCGCTCTGTGTGAAGCTAATCTCTGGCTTGGCTCAAAGCCGTTTTTTTTTTTTTTTTCCTAAACTCGGCCAACGCTGTTGAAAAGAATCCGTCTTGTGACCTTTCTGCAGTGTTTGGCAAACATGAAGCTGTTTATACACGTTTTTCCACATATACAGTGAGTAATTACACAACTGTAAAAAGTACTACAGTTGTGTAATTACTCACTGTAATTTCAGCTGTTTCTTGAATATATTTAAATGTTTAACAGTTTAGCTTTGCTGCTGATTTCAAGGTTTTTTTATCAAGTTTTTTTACTAAGATATTTTTTAGTTTTGACATTTGTATCTTTTCCACGATGCGTTTTGGCTAAAACTTGAAATATACGAATAATTTCATCTTTTTTTAGTTGTCATTGTTTTTACTGCATTTTTTTTTATTTACAACTATTTTAATATGTTTCGTAACGTGCAATATTTAGGAAGAGTCACATATGAGGGGCTGCTGCAGTTACTCTAAATACTCTAAGTACTCTAAGTACATGCAGTACTGTGTGTTTTATGACATTCATTGGTTTCGAACGTCACCTTTTGCTTTCGATGCTGTGAATATTTTCACGTCTTTTTAGACGATCAGCTCGACGTCACCTACAGCCTGTGTCACGGTCGCAGGTCATTATTTAGACACTCGTGAAATCAGTCGCCGTGTGTGAACAGTGTTCAGAAATACAGTCATTACCTCTGTACATACACACACACACACACACACACACACACAGTGCCGTTCAATCAGGCTTCCTGTCCTTTTTTTTTTTTTTTTTTTTCCCAAAGGACCCTTTTAATTAGAACCCTGCTGTTAGACACAGGCCTCCTCCACAGGTCTCTTCTTCCTCTTCTTCCTCTTCCTCCTCTTCCTCCTCCTCACTTTACTCTACCCGTCCTGTCACACAAAATACACAAACAAATACACAATCCCTCTATTCTTCCTAATTCACGTAATTCACACGTCGTCTGCATCGACTTTATCAAATCAACGACGGCAAAACTCCAGGAAAATCTGAAGAGTATTTTATATTTTAAATTGTGTTTCAAATTCTATCATGTAGTAGTATATATTTATTATATATGTGGCTCCTCCTTAGGAGTCAACATGAAGGACAATCCAGTCATATGACGTCAGATCAGCCCTGTACGCTGGTCACCAACCTTTTTTGTACCCAGGACCGGTGGGCCACGATTGGCCGTTACTGTGGACCAATAAATCTGTGCCATTGTTGAAGGTTTGTTAGAGATGCACTGAATATTCGGCCGCTGGAAAAAAGATTTTTATCACCGAAACAACACGGACGAAACAGGAAATTATGACGACGCAAGCAAAACCTGCGCTGTGGACGTATTTTAATATATCTGAGAAAGACCCACGGATCGCATTTGCGCGTTTGCAAAACGTGTTATGCTGACATTTCAGGAGGGGGTGAGAAGTACACTCTACTGAGATCTACTCCGATCCCCTGCACTCGTCGCGACTTTACTACAGCCACATTTTAAAGATCATTACTTGGATGCGGGACTAAAGCAGCGCACACGAGGAATGATCCGAGCTGGTTTGGTTGTGTGCAGTGGTGTTCTGTGTCACAATGAAATAATTATTTTGACAGTTATTAATTTATTATTAATTTATTTTGTTATATATTGATGTATGCAGTTGCAGTGCCTTGATTTTATTGAGGTTTAGTGCAGTCATAGACATAAACGCAGTGCTACTAATAAATGGCATAATAATTTCTTTACGCGTGTCGGATTTCGGCCGTGGTTTCCTCATTTTCGCGCGATTTCGGCCGTGGTTTCCTCATTTTCGGTTTTCAGTTTTGGCCAAGAATTTTAATTTTGGTGCATTTCTAAAAAAAAAAAGTGATGAATAAAGTGCCATAAAAAATAAAAAATAAAAATTGCTTTCCCTTTTTGGGGAGTGCATTATAGAAAGTTTGTTAACAATGGTCATTATCAGTAAAACAAAACAAAACAATTAAGATTGAGTTAAAGTAGATATCAGGGGTAAACAATCACCCATGAGGGGGTAAAATAAAGTTGGATAAGTTGACTTTAAATTTAAATTAATTTGGCAGTTTTTTTTTCTTTGATTTGGTGTCAGAACATGTGTTTATTAGTCACATAAAGTGAATCATTTTTAAAAATATTGTTGACTTATTTTTTTAACAATTGCCGCAGTCACTGGAGGTAAAGTTCTGAACAAATGTGGTGTATTTTCAAGCATGTCCAAACTCCTGTGATCAGTTCAACAGTAGAAGGTGTCGTCTCGACATAAAGACAGATGGTCATAGTTTTATTAGGAGACTTGGAGGAACCAACACTTTTAGCATTTATTTTAGAAAAAAAAATTATCAATATTTGTTATATTTGAGCTAAATATACTTCAAGGATCCAAAAGACACAAAAACGGGTTACATAATCTTGAACCATTATTGGTTGGAACCAGCTCGTCTCAGAGTCTTCCAGAAAACTTCAAAGCCCCCAAGACACCTCCACCTGGGGAAAGAGAAAATTCATCATTGTTCTATTTTTTTTTTTATGAACATACATTTCCAAGAAGATAATACTCTAATAATAATACTCATTATTTGAAAATCAATTTCAAGCTGTAGTCCACATTTCCTCTGGACAGTGAAGGCATCACTGCCAAGTTAAATTGTTTGTACCTTTGTTTTATCTAAACGTCCAGTGGAGTTGTACGATGGCTCAACATAAACGACACACACTGTCCTGTCTATAAGCTCCTAGTAAGTCGCAGTAACTGTGTTCATGTTATTTTACCGAATGCTATAATCCCCGCGACGGAGCCGAGGGCAATGCCAAGTATGACCCCAGGTGAGAGTCCGGGGCTCGGGCTTGAACCTCCTGTTGTTCCATTGGTTGTCTCCACATCTTGGAACACAATTTCAAAGTCAGTAAAAAGACATAAAAAACACATTAATTTTACCGTCTTCACTCTTTTTTTTCTGATACCCTTCCGGAAAGTTAACAACTACATATGGAGTCGTGTACACAAGGTTAAAGAAAAGTTCTATCAAAACATGAAAGGAAGTGGATTAAAGTCTATTTGAACATGGTGTGGTGGTACAAGAGCAGCCGGACCAATCGGACTATTTCAAGATTCACTTTAATTTAACTAAAACACTTGTCACCATTGATCCATTAGAATAAAAAGAAATCTCACCTGCACTCAAAAGGCAGATGATCAAAATCGCAAGACCCAGTCGTAGCATTGCCCCGGGGTTTGGTTACAGGGGTTCAGTCGGGGTTTAAAGGTAGTTCTTTGAATCAGGAGCTGTTCTGAAACAGAACAAATGAAAATCACTCAGCTACAGGTTTATTTAAAAGAACACCTGCCACCTGTTGGACAACTGAGTCATCTACTGCAGGGGTGTCCAACTCAGTTTGGTTCAGGGGCAGTAGGTAGATGTCAAGCCAGTCGGACCTGCACAATCATAACAGAATTACTTATATATATTTTCATAGGCAATTTTTAATTTTAAATTGATTAAGCGGCCCAGATTGAAACCCCAAACGGGCCGATTTTGGCCCATGGGCCGTATGTTTGACACCTCTGATCTACTGTATGTGTAGATGTGCAAATAGTAACTGCAGGCAGACAAATACATGCCAGGTGGGAGTTCATGAGGTGGTTGGAAGCATTGTCAACAAAATATGACTAAAATGCAGCCCCAAACCATTACGGAGCCTCCCATATTATTTATACAAGAAATCCAACATCAAAGTATTTCTATCGTGACCTTCTTAGAACAAACCTAAATGGGCTCTAAGCTTTTCATGGAGACAAGCGCGTACATAAAGGACCACTGGTGGGTTAATGAAATACTTACTGTGTGGCTCTGTCGTGTGTTTCCTTCTGTCTAGTATCCCGAGGAAAGATCGAGGGGGAAAAAGGTGTTCTGGAGGTGGACATCAATTAACAAAATATTCTGATCAGAAAATTAGACGATAATGTCTGAAATAATATGCAAGCAACGCAAATAAAAATGTTCATTTACATTTATGCATTTTTTTTTAAAAAAAATCAAAATTCTAATATTCTTTTTCCATCTGATGACAGTTAATGATATAATACAAGAAAGCTTTGCAAATGATCACGGATTAGTTTGGGGGTTTGGGAATTTCCAACATTCGTCGTTGGTAATTAGTGAGGACGTCAACCTCAAAACAACCGTGGTCTGGGAGCTTCGTTCAAAAGTACCGATTTGTATCTGCAGTCGTTTACAAACCTTTCCTTCCTTTGTTTCTCTTCTGTCCTACTTTGACATAGATGTGATACCCCAGCAGTCAAGTTCCAAAAGGTAACACCTTGAGATGTGATGTAACAAAGGTTACATCAAGTGATCAAAGTGTTGCTGGACTGAGCATCACCTTCAAAGTGGTTTTGTTTATAGCACTGCTTCTCAAATAGTGGGGCGGGGCCCCCTGGGGGGGGCACTGTGGGATGGGAGGAGGAGGAGGGGGGGGGGGGGTGTAGAGTATGAAAATGTACAATTAGACATCTACAATTTATGGTCTTGCCATATTAATTAGTGTTAAAAGACCATGTAGTGTCACTTTGGTTTGGTGGGAAAGACCAACGTGTCATCTGCAAATGTGCGTCTCCAGATAGACAACCTTCAAATCAACACGTTTTCTTTTTACGTAGAAGTTGTTCACAGAGTAGGCAAGTTGATTTCACAGAGTTTCCCAAAGTTTCACCTCATCCAAGATGTGAAAACCTTGACTATTTATTAAAAAACAAGTGTAGGTTTCATAAATACTTACTGCAGTTTGAAATGCAACAACAGAATCAGTAGGACGGCAGTCGGGTGTAGGGACAAAATGTTGAACCCGCGAGTAAATAAATGTGTTCCGGGGAAATGTTTTCCATGCGCTGTTTCTCACTCTTTGTTTTACACCGTGCACTCAGCTTAGAAGTTACTCCGCTCAATCAAGAAATGATGTAACAAAGCTTAGAGATGATGAAAGGACATGAGACTGGTGTGGGATTCTTCACGGCAGATGACACTGAACACAGCTGACAGTTGACAGTTTGATTGCGGCTCAGTACACATTAGTACACAAGTCAATGGTACTAATAATTGGCCTAATAACGTCGTTCGGTGTTTTTGGTTTTCGGCCTTGGTTTCCTCATTAAACAATTTTTTTACTTTCCTAAAATTTTGGACTGGTTTTATCAACTTACTCAACTTGCGTGGGTGGAAATAATGACTAACTTGGTGGGAGTGGTATTTTTCTAGAGCAAAATATGTGTGTGTGTGTGTGTGTTTCCAAATGGCAAAATATGTGTGTGTGTGTGTGTGTGTTTGTGTTTTCCAAATAGCAGCCAAAGTCCATACACTACGTAGGGAGTTCCATGTCGGTGGTAAATACAGTTGAGTTCAGCTGGTCCCTGGTACTGTGTGGTAGAAATGTGTCCCGTGACCTGGTGTGTGTGTGTGGCTCAGTATCAGGACACACTCAGCTGTGCAGCCAATGTCAACGGCTGCTCAAAGTATTCCTGGAACTCGAGCTGTTCCATCGCGCTCATAACCTGCATTCCTCCCGCTTTCCCCCTTCCGGACAAGGACGAACCAAACGGGAAGGAAAAGAAAAAAGTTGGAAGTTGATCAACTTTCTTCTTCTTCTTCTGTCAGGCGGACGCCTCTCTCACCGACTCTTTAAGCTGCTTTCTTAATCAGGGCAAAGTTGATTAGAAACAATAGCAGTTGGGTTGATGTTTTTGTTAAAGCAGCTCTGGAATTTTCAGCTCAAGTTCTGTAAGCTGCTCCAGCATGTCTCTCTGTGTGTGTGTGTGTGTGTCACTCAGTTCCTGGCACGGGGGGGGGGGGGGGGGGGGCAGCTACACACATGATGCACGCCAACCTCGGTCACAGGTCTCAACATGGGGCAGGAGTCCAGCTTCGTTTCAGATGGAAGACGCCGAGGCCCGATGGTCATGTGACCCAGTTTGGCAGCGGCCCATACAGCCCTATAGTACACACTGTGACGTCCACAGTATGTACTGTATGCGAAGTTTGTTACGAAGAAACTCTGAGGGCTGCCCGCATCTGTGACTGCTTGTCTGGAGCTTGATGTGGGAAGACAGGTTGTTTAGGACCGTGGGGAATGAGGGATGGAGAAAGAGCAGGGTGGAGGAGGCGGGCTGCAGCTGTTGTTGTGTTGTTCTGGGCTAGTCCGCCAAAAGAAAAAAAGAAAAAAAAAAAAAAAAAAAAAAACAGCCACAGAGCTTTTACCAGGAACTCCCTGTGGAGCCGTAAAGATGTATATTTTAAGTTTAAGGCGAAGTATAAATGGCTTTACTACAGTCGTACTACAGTCGTACTACAGTCGTACTACAGTAAAGGAAGTTCTGACAGTACTGCTACCACAACAACTACTTCTATTACTACCACCATTGCTACTACTACTACTACTATTACTTCTAAAACTACCACCACAACTGACTGAGTTACTACCACTACCACCACTACTGATACTACCACTACCACTACTGGTAATACTACTACCACTGATACTACTACTACCACTGATACTACCACTAATACTACTACTACCACTGATACTACTAAGTACTACTATTAAGAAATACCACTAAGCCGTAAAGATGTATATTTTAAGTTTTAAGGCGAAGTATAAATGGCTTTACTACAGTCGTACTACAGTCGTACTACAGTCGTACTACAGTAAAGGAAGTTCTGACAGACTCTGCCCTCTGTGTGTTTTTTCTTATTTTTCCTCTCTCGAGTTTCTAGTCAGCAGTATTTACTAGAAGAAGGAACGTGGAGGGAGGTTAGCGGAATTAGCTTGTCCTCGCTAAGATGAGGAAACAGTATCAGAAAAACATATTTGATATTTGACTCCATTTGTTTTAGTTCATGTTTTAGATTCCGGGCGTTATACTCATGGGCATATAGTCAACACGTGTCCCTGTGATTGGAGGTGTACAGCTCCATGTTGAAGACGTTGGTCTGTTCAGTGAGACAGACAGAGACGTGTGGACAGACAGCTCTCCTGTTCTGTCGGCTCTGCTAAAGACCATCTTCAATCCCAGGGTTTCAGCTTGAAAGGCAGGAACAAAGCACCGTCTCTCTCTCCCCCCTTTTTCTCTTCCCTCCCTCCACTTTCTGTAGAGTAAGTGTGGCTGTTCTGTCCTGAGGAGCCTCCCTCTGCTGCATCGGTATCGACCGGCCCTCTTCCTCTGAGGAGCACACGCTGCCAGCTCCTGCTAGGGCCCTTTTCCTTCCCTTCACAGGGTGGGAATTTTTATTATGATTGTTTTTAAAGATTTTTTTTTTCTTTTTCTTTTCCACCATCTCTCTGGGCATGGATTTTAAAGTGGCAGAAGAAAAAAAAAAAAAAACCAGGTGAGGCAGGGAGGAAAGAAGACGAGGCAGAGAGGAAAGTTATTTTGCTGAAGGACATTTACAGAAGCTTTTAACTCCCCCGTATTTCCTCCCTCCTTTAACACTCTTTGCCCGTTTCTGCTCTTTAAATATTGATAATTGATGCGGTCCTCCAGAGCAGGGGGCGCTGCTGTGACAGGGCACTTGTACACTTGTTCAGATCGCTCTGTCTAAGCGGCAGCAACAATTCCCCCGTGCGGTCCTTGCCCCCAGGCTTGGGTAAGCTGGTCTGAGCTTTGTCAATTCCCATGCTGCACCTCTTCCCCGGCTCCCTGCGCTCTCACCATCTGAAGGCCGAGCTCTCCCTCTGGGCCGAGCTTTGGCTGCTGGTTTCCTCCAGGGTGAGGGGGTGGTGGGGGGGGTGGTTCTCAGCGGGTGAGGCTTTTTAACCCACACAGACAGCGGGCACAAACACAAACAGAAAAGCGGCAGCAGACAGACTCTGAGTGACCCAGCCGACTCCCTCCACTCTCCCAGCGTGCACACACTTCACACACACACACACACTTCACACACTCTCTTCGTTCCTCTTTTCCCCACACTTACAGCCCAGATGGATGCATTTTAGTTGCTATTTAAGAATTGGACTAACTAGGCTGCAGCCCGGTCCTGTGTTGTGGGGAGCTCAAAAATAAAACTCTAAATTCAGAGTTTTCTTAAATGCTGCGTTCCTGCACGTGCAGTTCGTGTTTGTTGTTTCTCTGAAGGCGAGAGCAGAAAATATCGGCTAAATAAAGCTTTCCTCTCTGAGTGGCACCACGTTTGGGCACAGCAGTGGTCACAGCCTGGCTGGACGACCCCCCCCCCACTCTTATCCAAAACAGGAGTGAGCATCCTTAGGAAAGAACGAGTGCAGAGGAGAGGAGAAGAGAGGAGGAGAGGAGAGGAGAGGAGAGGGGAGGAGAGGGGAGGAGAGGAGAGGAGAGGAGAGGGGAGGAGAGGGGAGGAGAGGAGAGGAGAGGAGAGGGGAGGAGAGGGGAGGAGAGGAGAGGAGAGGAGAGGGGAGGAGAGGGGAGGAGAGGAGAGGAGAGGAGAGGAGGAGAAGAGAGGAGAGGAGAGGAGAGGAGGAGAAGAGAGGAGAGGAGAGGAGAGGAGGAGAAGAGAGGAGAGGAGAGGAGAGGAGGAGAAGAGAGGAGAGGAGAGGAGAGGAGAGGGGAGGAGAGGGGAGGAGAGGAGAGGAGAGGAGAGGGGAGGAGAGGGGAGGAGAGGAGAGGAGAGGAGAGGAGAGGGGAGGAGAGGGGAGGAGAGGAGAGGAGAGGAGAGGAGAAGAGAGGAGAGGAGAGGAGAGGAGGAGAAGAGAGGAGAGGAGAGGAGAGGAGAGGAGAGGAGAGGAGGAGAGGAGGAGATGTAAAGATCAGGAAAGACTGGAAAGGAATAAATGACAGGGTGGAGGAGAAGTTTTAGTGTCACCCTGGGTGTAATCAGGGGTGAGAGAAGAAGCAGTGGGAGACCACTCTAATGTGCTGCTCTTAACTTTTTACATCACAGGGAGTGGAGGAGGAGGAGGAGGAGGAGGAGGAAGAGAAGAGAGGAGTCTCTAAAAACTCCTCTCCTTTAATCTTTTCCTCTCCTCTATTTTCATTTCATTTCCTCTCGTCTCCTCTTCAACATATGTGTGATCTGTGGACTTTATTTGTCTTTGTCTCCTTCACTCCTCCCCCTCTTTGT